AGTGGCTTCTAGGAATTTGGTCCAGATACTGTCATTCTTGCCCATTCTGTGTACCTGTAAGAAATTCTCAGTAATTAAAAACCAAACAAACATTGATTTTTTTTTTTTTTTAGTATTTCTTAGTTTAAAAAAAAGTTTGATTTATTTTCGGTTTTTAATGAGATGGAAGAAGAATTAATACATACTTTAAGAAATGAAGTGTCCTACTTATTTGGGGTTTTTTTGTTTTGTTTTGTTTTGTTTTGTTGGGTTTTTTGTTCTTGGGGGGTTTTTGTTATGTCTCGGCTTGATTTTTTTTTTTTTCTTCATAGATAAAAATGCCTGCCCAAAAAAAGAGATATGTGAATAAATTAGTTAGTATTCTAACAAGCGAGACCTTGTGGGTCATCTTGTTCTTCTGTTGCCAATGTGGAATTATTCTCTCTGTGCCATTTGGAAATGCAGTATCTAATTTAAAAATTGCCGAGGTAATATATTTTCCACCATTCCACATTATTTTATCTATCAAAATATATTATAATTTCATAGTAATTATTTTTAATGACTAGCACAATAAGCAAGAACTCTCCCATGTTCAGCTGTGATATGCCTCATTTGTTTGAGGTAATGCACAGACACAAAAGATAGTCCTGTATAAGAGCTTTGCTTTGCAAAAGATGGAAGAGGAACCTGTTCAGGGAACTGAGACTCATCTTTGACCTTTAGCATAAAATATATGTTTTTAGTTGACTTTCAAATTTTTTTTTCTTTTTGTTTTTGTGTGTTTGGTTTTTTGTTTGTTTGTTTCTGGAACAACCAGTGTCACATTTTCAAGCGCTAAAACAACGAAGACCAGAAACTGCCACTAGAAGGGGATGATGTGGCGTCCACCTACAGTGGCAATCTCTTGGAGCTCTTTAATAATGGGGCCAAGAGTTTGGACTGAAGCAGCAGCTTCTTAGTATTTAGGTTAAGAAATAAGGAATTACCTCTACTCCCTTTTTTCATTTACTCATCTATACATAGGAATGCTTATGTTTATAAATAATCACTTTTGTAGGTAGGCATATGTAGACCTGTGTGCCATAGATAAACAACTGCCAGTTGAAGTGCTTAATAACTTTTAACATTTTTTTCATTATGCATCATAAGATATGCAGTGATTAAAATAAATTCTTCCTACCTCTTGTTAACTTTTGCAGCAAGAAATTTTATTGCAGTGTGAACTGTAGAAGCTGGATAAACTCTTCCCATAAATTTGCAAGGGAGAAAAGATGAGTCATTAAGACACAACAAGCTGTTGTGTCTTTTAGGACATAATTCTCTTATCAATTCATTGCACACTGTTCATGTCCAAAACAAACAGAGTGTCCCTAGAATAAGTTTTGTTTTAGGCTAAAGCTCTTCACACAGATGGTGCTTTACAGGCTATTGGACAGGACAGTCATTCTGATGGGACAGCTCTGGAATTCCAGTTGTTTGGGAAAGAGAACTCTGTGGCCTGTGGTTCAATATTGCTTCAGGCATTCCCTTTGTAGGTGATAAATGCTACAGCACAGCTGTTTGCCTCATGCAGAGATGCGCAGCTGTGCTACTCAGGAAAAGGAGTTTCTCTCCTGCCATGCCGTTTCTGTGCATTGTGCTGCAGATTTTCACAACTTCAGTGTTAAGCCAGCAGAGGGTAGTGTTACGCTTCCAAGAATAGGTTACATGGGCTGCCTCAGGTTACTGCCTCAGAGTTACTGTACTGAGGGGAGGGGCTGAAAATGTGAGTGCTTAATTACATGGGCCTCATGGTACTTAAGTAAAAGTGTTGAATAGACCACATACTTTGTTGAATAAACCTACACTGCTGTTTTTCCAAAAGCACGGCAAACCAAGATCTTGTGCGTATAGTACAATCTTAAAAACAGGGAAATTCGGGCTTGAAGGTACTCCAGGTTGTTTCTCATCCAAACAGGTGGTGAGGCAGGGTTGCTGTGAGAGCTGAGTAGTTGCCTTACCCACTTTTGAAAACCCATAAGGATGCAGACTGCCTGTCCTCTTTTGGCAGCTGCTCTCACAGGCCAAATGTTCATTTGTGTGCTCAGATTGAACCTGCTGCGTTCCAACTTACACCTGCTGTGCCTCACCCTCTTGCCGTGCACTGCTGTGAATCCTCGATCTAGTGGCTCTACTCCTTCTAATGCATCCCAGAAGGCTGCTGGCCATCTCTGCTGCCAGGGCACTGCTGGCTCACATTCATCTCACTGCCCACTGGACCCCCAGGCTTTTGTACACAGAGTTGTTCTCCAGCTCTCAGTCCCCAGATGGTGTCACTGCAAGAGGATCTTCCTTCCAAAGGGCAGCAATTCGGGCTTGTCATTTTTAAGTTTCATAAGGCAACTTCCAAGAGAATAGACTGTCAGTCCATTCCTCCATCTTAGCTAGATCCCATTTTTCTATTAAGTCTTATATTTACATTCCATTTTCATTCAAATCAACAGTTCTAGAATCATGTAGGAAGCTTAAAAGTTTGTAGGCTTGTGGATTACAGATTTGTATACAATGTTGCTACAAGTTAAACTACAAAATTAGATAATGGATTTCTAGTCTATTCAGCAAATAACAGAGGAACAGAGTTTTATTTTTTCTTTGAAAAATAATACGTCAAGAAGAAAAATAGTCTTTCATATGTAACTTACATATCTCTGGTGTGATATGATAGTCAAGCTACAAGGCACAAAAGCACATTTAACTTGACAGAGTGATGAAAACCTTACTATAAGTATTACTTTTATTTTCAAAGGCTCATAATCTTTCTCTAAAAATCAAATATATTTATGTCATTACTCATGTGTAGAAACAAAGATTATTAAAGCACAACTGTTGCTCCATCATTGTTTTTCGGTCTTCTCCTCTGCCAGTCAACTATATCACCAGTTACTCCTGCTGTCTATGGCTGTGTTTTCTGCAGATCACAAGCATGGCAATGAGGTGGCAAGAAACACCTGGGACCTTTTCAGAATTTTTGTTGGTGCATCTGGAACTCCCAGGATTGTCAGAGCACTGAGACTAATGGAACCCCTTTTATGACCAATCTGCAACCTGGCACCACATGAGCCAGATGACTTGATGAGAGCTGGTGACTCATTAGGGGCAGTATAGCAGTATTTTGTACAAGACCCTTCACCGCACGCTATGGTCAATTAAATTCTAACTATTTCTTCCCCAAATCTCGTGGAAATGTACAGGGTCAGCAAAAATGTATGGTTTTGTGAAGGTCACAGTCTAGTGTACTTCTCCTTTCATTTCATTTTTTATGATTTCGTGGTTGGAAAAAGTAAGAGATTAACAAAGAGGAAATTAGGTGTTGGAATATGTATAGACCAGACAGTTACCATTCTTGTCACCTGAAGAAAGGGGAGGTTAGTCTTCTGCTACTTGTTTCACTTTAAAGTTATGAATAATCTCAGTCTGTAACTGATGGATTTAAATTTTAATAGGAAAAGGTTCAGCATCAGCCTGGAGGGTTCAAGGTACTGCAGAGAGAGAGAGGCCTGCATATGGCTGAAATGTTTCCATCTAAGGCAAGGGTCAACAACATAAAGTGACAGAAGTGGAGGAGAGGTCATCCCTTCAGATGCAGTATTTTTTAGCTGCCACTAAGCTCTTTCAAGTGCCCTTAGCCTCTAGTTGGGGAAAAAAATGTAGTCTGGCACACTGCACTTGAAAAGATGCTGACCCCTGTTCTACATCTCACACTTCCATGGGAAACATCCATGCTTGTTGAATTTAGCTGTATCAGAGCGTGTGTTTCAAATCCTGTAAACTTATGTGTCCATTAACAGCAATTTAAAAACCTGCCAGCTTTCATAGAGTTCTATAAACAAGAATATGTAGTACTTCTGAAGAGTTATCTGCTATTACTCTGAAAATAGTCTGATATTTACCAGGGAAAGCATCACCAGTGGATGCACATGCTCCATATTGGCTTGTATTCTGTATTGTAATAATATTTGGACTTCCCTCAATGTGAAGTAAGAACACAGTGTTTATATGAGTTAGAAGCATAGTACTGGAAAGAAGCAGCTATATGAGTTAATGTTCTTTGAATAGCAGTTGAATAAACTTTCATGGGAAATTTGTTTATTTCTGAACTTAAAAATGGCTCCAGGAAATACTTATGTTGTGACAAAAGGTTTCACTGTTCTTTGGAATAGACAGGGATTTTATCACAAAGATCATGGGCTTCTGAGTTTGACAGTAAAAGAATGGACAGGCAACAATTTTTGAGTTCTTGTATTTACAAAGATAAAGAAGGAGGAGAAAAGTCATAATTCTGCAAACTAAGCATGATAGCTGTATTTAGGGTTCCAGGAAAGCCTTAAACCCCTTACAGTTCCTAGTAGCAGGTTGAAGGAAGAGATTATGGGAATTTGTTAAAATAAGAAGTTGTGGGAAACAGTCACTGGTGAGTTTTGTCATTGCTAATACCACTTCTTTTAATCCTGCCATCCTCTATGAATAAGCAGCAAGCAGATTTTTACCAAATCATCCAAACTAGGTGAGCTTCAACAATTCTTTTTTTTTTTTTTTAACTCAATAGGACTATAGGAAAAAATAGATGTGATGACATGTAGATCAAAATATAGAACCTTCTGAAAACCAGGATAGTCCAGAATACATGGTAAAGGTGACACCTGTGAAATGGAATGAGCAGACCCCTGCCACTAAAGTCCTTCCAGTAGCACACTGACATTTTACTTTATTTCTTCCATAGGAAGAGCTGCGGAACATGTCTCCAAAGCGTTTTGACTTACACCTGGCAGCAAGGACAGATGCCTGATGAATTGACATGTGTGTAATGGCAGCACACCGAGGTGTCAGTCAGTTGCATCCTACAAAATTTCAACAAAGATTGCTCTGAGTTTTTCCAGGTCCACCTTTGAAGTATCTTTTTTAAAGCGTAGGATGTTCAGATAACATGTCCATAAACAAATCCATGGTGGAGTGCAGGCAAGGATGAAATTCCTGACTTCTAGATCTAGCCTTCCTGTAAATTATTTGTGTGATTTCTGGATAATTTTCTTCATTTAGCTTTATCCTTTGGGCAGGCCTGTACTTGATAAACTGTCCTGGGCAGTGTTATCCCAGTGTGAGGTAGGAGAGCACATCTCTTAATGCAGAGGGTGGAATGTCTCTGGTGCCTCTCATTGAATTGGATGGCCAGACTCAGGAATTAAAAGCATTGACCTTAGTCAGGAAATTTAGCGGGCTAAGTGGCCACACATAGCCCACTAAAGACATCTGTAGGTTGCCTGACTTGCTCTGGAGGACCTGACAAGCCTCTGGCAGCCTGGGCGTTGGATGAACTCAGTGGTATCTGGTGCAAACCAAACATCTCTAGTGAACACAGGGATCATAGTGATTTTGTGCTTTCTAGTGCTTCTGTGAAATTCATTATCACCACACAAGTGGGAGAACTACTCAAAAACTCCAGTGTGAAGTGTCCAAAATGATGAAATACCTCCAGGCTTTGGACTGTGGAACATAACACATATCAGTTCAAACAAATCTGAGAATTAATGTAAACTTTATAAGGACAGGCAGCTGCAATTTTGGCCAAAATTCAAGGAAAATTACAGGCAGGGAGAAAAAGTTGGTTTTGATTATTTGAAGTTTGTTTGTATGGTCATAATTAGAATTTGGACAGCCTCTCATTCAGGGAATCAGTGCTGCTGGATGCCCACAGCAAGAACAGAATAGATCAACAGCAAATTATAAAATGCAACATGACGAATGCATATTGTCTCAATCTCTTCTTTTTTCCAAATGAAATTTTTAAATTTTTCCCTTTATTTTACCTAAAAAGTACCAATTCTAAGAAAAAAACAAAACTTTTTAGAGCATGGCAATAACATCAGGACAAAATGTTTTCTTCTTCACAGAGCCAACTTTTCTTACGAGAACCTCTTAAGAAATGCTAAACTTCATCAACCTTCTGTAACCTCTCATTCTTCCATAGCTAGTGATTTATCTTGTGGTGACAAGTCATAAATGATTTTCTAGAATACTTGTTTCTACTAGTAGCAGGAGTAACAATATATTTTCCCACAAAAAAGCTCTTCGATACAGCGACTAGTATTTAAAGTAAAAACTGATTTTCAGAATTTATATTGTAGTGGAAATCAATGAAACTAGACAAATGATATTATAATTATTTTCCAGCTGCAAACACAGTTTAAGTTATTATATTTAGGTGGTCTTTTCCAGCTTCAAAGTTAGTTACAAACATTTAGCTAATTAGTGTAGATGTGCATGCAGGCAGGGAGAAGTTCAAGCGTTCCAACACTGAACAGATTTTGGAGATGAAAGGTCATACTGATTAAGAGATGCTCAGGATCATTTTTCTCTGGCTAACTTCTTGGCTTTCTCTGCCCCTCCCTTCCCCACCTGCTACATTCCTGCCCACTCCCTTGTTGGTTTTATCTGCTTCCAGTCTCCTTCCTCAGACCACATCTGTCCAAACGCCTTTGCCTGTTGCTTACTTTTTTCCTACACTTGGTGTTGTTTTACCTCACTTCTCTTGATGTCTAAAGACAGAGATGGGATGCTCTCCCTTGCCAGTAAAAGCTGGGGTGATCCACAGCAATTCAACATCCCTGAAGGGATGGAGCCAGTCAGCCAACCCTGTCACTTGGGATATCTCTGTAAGTCAGGAGTTACCACTGCTGTGAGTCAGTGGGAGACTTACCCATGGTTTTTAACTGGATCATGGCTGAGACCTTGGAGCACTGAAAATGAATGGGTGAAAACAGAAACCTTTCTGCCATTGTTTTAAAGAGGTCTCTTGCAAGGAGTAATACTCCAATACAAGGGTACCACCTTCTTGTATTGGAGTGAATGAGCTTTCAGAAAGGACCAAAAGTTCAAAAGAGAAGAAAGATAAATGCATTCTGTCTGAATACTTGAATTAGAGAATTAGACAATAGTATAACAGATAAAGTTTTATTTATCCTGGCTCTCTCACAAAAAGAAATCTCAAACTCCAAAGATACACTAGAGTAGATGCTAAACAGAGGGATAAATTGAATAGCAGACGGGTTTGCTTGCTCGCATGTAAGAAAAAGCAAAATACCTTTATAAGCTAGTCCCTCATGTGGGAAGTTCTTGAAAATAAGGACTGAGTGTGAGTGGAGTAGTAATTTGGGTGACAGTGGTGCCTGCGTCTCTGGGCCTGCTGGTGCCAAATGCCTCTTAAAAAGTCTCCTCCCAGAGCACTGCACTGAGCTGGAGTGGCTGAAAATCTCTTTGTATGGTGTCAGTCCACAGTAGGTGCTTCACATAGGTATCACAAGTTTTTTATTATGACTGCAGATTTCTCTTTAAGAGTTAAGCAGTACTGAGTGAGTCTGGCAACGTGTTTATATACCTTTACCAAAGCCTGGTTGTTTGCTGAGTAAAATTGTGAGTGGAAATATTTATGAAACAATTGCCCAAGTAAAACACAGTTAATATTTCTGAACACAAAAGCTAGTAGCCCTTGTGAAAAAAATGCTGCTATCTTGATGATGATTCTTGTTTTGGATGTGTCAGGAGACTTAATGCAAAGTCAGACTATTATATCCCCAGTGAAGCTGAGAAAACAGTATCACTCAGCAAACAAAGTCAGTCCATCCTGGTTTAGAAATTAAACCTGCAGAGAGGCTTAATTTGTCTTGAATTAGCAGAAATGTCATTGTAATGGGTATGCAATGATGGAAATCGAGTCTGGCTGTGAAGTACTGCACCACTTTGAATGCAGGTTATCACAGTCTAAGGATACAAATGAGGCTTGGATGCAAAAGTACTAAGACTTCAGAATCAGAATACATTTTTCAAAGCAGATCTGCATTGCAGTTTCACCAAGGAGAAACTCAGAAAAATGTTTCCTTTTTTAATTGGAAAAAGTTTTTATGACACTCTGAATACCCCTCAGGCAACTGACAGACATATTTTATAACACCTATTTTATCACATTGATAAAAATTTATTCTTGCAGAAGTTTTATGGTTCATAGAAATGATAATTAATCCCAAATCCCATCAGTTGTATAGTAGTTTAAGTGTTGTGCTATGTTATTAATAAATAACATGCCATTTCTCCAGGGTGAAGCTTCTCATGCAAGGAATATATTTTCAATATAAGATTATATTGTTTACTGGTTGAGTATGTCTACCAATTAAGTAAACTGTATTAATAGTTTTCCATTATTATTAATGAAATACTTTTTCTATTCAATTATCAATGGTAATAATTTTCTCTGTGAGTCTGCCTTCTGGACCAGATTTGTAATTTCTCCAAAATCAACAAAAAAATGTAATTACAATAGGATAGTTTATGATAAGATATTAAATGACTTAGGTATCTTTTAGAATCAGACCTATATGTTGCAATTAAATTATTTGGTATTTTTGATAACACCTGCTTAATATCTTCCAAGTCTTCTAAAAAAAAGCATGAATTTTCTTTGTTCAGCTTTGTGTATACAAAATTTGTGGTGTCCAGCAGTGATGGCTTTTAGGGCTGCTTAGGAAATACTTGTTCCTTTATCAAGTCTCTCCAAAAAGGCTTGAAGTGTTCTTGTCCTATCTAGTTTACAATATCTTGGGTGTACTGTGTGATAAGCTGCCTACTGCCATAGCCCACAGCCATACTGCCAGGGCTGTTTAAAAGGGGCAAGAGGTGCCCAGGGACTCCTCGGTGTAGATGTGTCAACTCTGGATCAGCACTTGTGTTTGGCATTGACCCATCTGCACACTCGGCTGCCTTCAGAGCAGCAGCATGGGCACCTCAAGTCAGCTTTATCTGTGCACAGCAGCTGAGTTTGAGAAATCTTCCCCTGGGTGTTTGTGGACCTCATTCAAAACCAAAACCTTTGGGTTCAGAAGCTCTAGGCAGTTCTGTTGTCTGTGTTGCACTTAGCTCAGGATAAGTGGGTGTTGATTTATCCATCAGGGCAAACAGTGATTCCCTTCATAAGAAACCACCAACATTGGATTAATACGGCATAGCAGCAGAAGTTTGTTCCTTAATTAGAAACGTAACTCTTACTTCCTTAGCAGGTCTTGCCCTACTAAGTTGGAAGTAACCTATGTGCTGTTATAAACTCTGGTAGGAGCCACTTTGACCACTGGCTGGGCTAAAGGGGGTGGTAGAAGTACATCACTGTTCTCCACATGCTCCCCACTGTGGAAAGTCTGCCCACTCCTTACTCATGGAAGTCAAACGTTTCCTCACAAGGCCCCTACCTACACAAGCATCTTCAAGCAGGAACAGACCTCTGTATTACAGAGCTGTTTTACAGGATAGCTTTAGGAATAGTTTAACCAATAAAAACCACCTGTGAAGTGTTAGAGACTCATTGCTTATACCGAATCAGAGCAGGAAATTGCTTTCTTCTTAGGATATGCCCCTCTCCACTAACAATTAGGCAAAGCTATGGTAGGTGTGCTTGCTCAGTGAGACAAGAAGTTACTGAAATTACAGGAGAAAAGGAGATTCCTCGTTCTCTTAGAATCAACAGTAATTAAACTACACTGTGAAAAGGCTGTGTTCTTGTCATCCAGCTCTTGCTGAGTGTTCATTAAGAAAAAAGAACAGAAAGAAAAGCATGCAAAACAAACTTAGATTTTTGCAGAATACATCAATTCATCAAATGTAACTGAAGCCACCTGTTTCCACTTTGTCCCTAAGAAAAGGGATATCTGCATTGTATGAAACATGGAGCAGTGAGTGTGCACAAAGTCCTGCAGGTGATTCTCTGTAAATGAGTCGGACAAAACATTTTTACCAGGAAGTGGCAAATCCCTCTCTTTTTCACTTTCAATCCAAGCATTTGTGTTCATTATCTTTTGTATAACTTCAGCCTGCTAGATAATAAGCCTCACCTACAGCAACCTTGTGTCAGATTATCTGCACTGTAGAATTTTGTTAGGTTTTAGAATTCCTTCCAGGCTTTATATTAATTGGCTTGTGTTTGGTTTGGAATCTAATGATGAAAATGGCCATGCATTATCACTAAAGAGCTCAAGATAAATTTCTTTCTCACTCCAGCTGAGGAGGTAATGACCATGACAAAAACTTTGCTTTCTTGTGGTCTCCTGCTTAGGTACAAACTTACTACTGTTGTTAAATGGTGCTTTACCTTGTGAGTGCCACATCAATGCATGTTGATCTCAGCTGTATTGACTGGGTAATTAGGTGCCTCTGGTCAGCAGATTATGCATTCATTCTCCATGTTCTCCTCTCTTGCTGACTGATGCTGAGATGTTTTGAAACTTTACTCTCCTCACATCCTTTAAAACACTGGAACATTTTCAGGTATTTAATAGGTAGCTGTTCTTAGCAAGATGATTCAAATACAAGTTTTCGTAAATGCCAGGTTCTGATGTGGCACATCCTAGTCTTTGCCTTATATACATTAGGTGTCTCTGCTAGGGTGCTCCTAAAACTGCAGCTGATTCTTGCCCTAATATTTGAAAGCACTATGTCTCCAAATATCAAGACCTCATAACTCAGACTGTTTATACTTTGTTATTTTAATTAACTTAATGGAATGGAATAAGTAAAAGAAAAACATAAAACCTCTTTTCATTGCAATTGGGCAGATCATTAACTGGCAAAACTTCAGCAAAGTTGCATTAGTTTACAGGATGAGGCCTTTAGATGCTGGAGAAATTACCTCTGAGAAGACTTTATGCTACTTACATTATGTATGTAATTGTTGGCTGTACAATAGCTGCTAATTAATAATTCAAAAATCATTATTAGCAATTTAGAAATCATTAACAATATTACACATTTGCACTTGCTGATCTTTCCTTTTGACATCCTTTGATTGACATCACTGAAGCATGTATTGTCACTCTGAAGCATGCATAGTTACATAAGCATTAATGTTACAAAATCTGCTTTTCATATCTGCTTAAAAACCACAGCTATCCCTCTTGCTTCATAACTGTGGCACTGGAGCCTGTTGTACTGGATGGTAGAATGAGTTTGTGATTTGATTCCCCAGAGATTCCCTTCAGTCCTCCTGTAACATTCAGGTGACTCCACAGTGAACAAGGCCAGCACAGCTATGCAGGGTGTGTTTGTTTGGTGTCTCTGTGCAGTTCTGGTCAGGTTTCCCTGGGGGGACAAAGCAGTTCAGCAACAATACTGAAATGACATATGCTTGAACTAGGAGCACATGGCACCAGTAAAACTTCATCCTTAGTGGTTTGGCAGTGGATCATTTGGGAATTAGGGATGAAAGCAACAGATGTTATGCATTCAAGCACCTGGATAAAGAAATGAAACTACATATATTAAGCAAAATGGTGAAACTTGCATTTGTCTGTGATGTCCCATTCTACTCAGATAAGGTACTGTTTGTTTTTAAATGGAAATATGGCTTGGCATAACATGACAAAACATAAAGGCCCTTGTAGCCATGTTATATCTGGGTCAGATGTATTTGATGTTCTTACTTTGATCTCCTGTCTAATCAGTGTGTTTTCAGCTTAGATCTGGAATCCATGTCTCTTGTAAACATGAACAATTCCCAGACCTTTTGATCTGCAAAATGACTCATTCTTCCACAACTCTACTCCAGGACAGCAGAGAGAAGTGATTCCTTTTCATAGGGGTTTCTTTGGCAGGCTCCCCTGAGACATATAAAACTCTCTCCTAATAAAACTAAAGAGGCTAAACAAGGTCTTCACTGGATCTCTAGGAGCTTTTTCTTTGACATTCTTCCCCTGGCTTTCCTCAGAACTTAAAAACTTGGATAAAGTTTGCTATGGTGGCTGGATTAATTTACTGCATTACCTGGAATTTGTTGGATAAGGAAACTGGCTCTGTAAAGTAAGAAAGGAAATAATGGATAGTATAGAGGCTGATGACTTCTGAAGGGAAGAAACAAACGGTAAGAAAGTGCAGGACCATGAAAGTGCAACATATGGCTGGACAGAGGGAGAACAGAGACAGCAGAACCAAAGCAGCAGGAGGAACTCTGCGGTGGGCGAGGCAAGGGCATGAGGGGAAGGGACTGAGGTGCCCTGGGCCAGGGTGTTGCAACTGGCTGAGGAGTTTGGAGAAGAAACTAGAAATCTGTTCTCCTGGGATCAAGACCTGTGGGTGGAGAGGAGTGATGGGAGGTGAGAGTGGAGCCAGGCTTCCTCAAGGGCCAAGGCAGGAGAAACTTAACCCCTTACTGCCCCGCCTTCTAGGAGGGAGAACAGGACCAGCCCAGGGGGAAATTAGGAACAAACTTCAGAGGCAGGGGTGTGGAAAAGACAAGTCTGAGGCCAGCCCAGATGGACTGGGAGCCCTAGCAAAAATGGATGAGAAGTGGTGACCACTAAAAACATTCTTCACCATATGACTACTCTTCTGACCTTCACCATGCATCCTCACCACTTTTTGTGGTACGAACTGGTCCTGTTTCTTTCAGAGCTCATGAAAATCTCTCCCTCTCTTCTATAAATTTAAAGGAATAGGTTTTATATTAAGCCCCCCCACATTAATCTTAGTAAAAGTGTGAAGTTTAATTTCAATTGCAAGAGATATTTTTTTTCCTTTGGAAGCTTACAGCCATTTTGGAAAAACATTTTTTCTCACCTAATCTCTATCTCATTCAAACTGCAAATACTAAATAAGATATGAATCTTACTAAAAATAGGATGACACCGTGTAAGGAAAGACAATGCCAATGCACTTACAGGAGTCTGAATTACAATAATCCTTTCTACTTTGCCCACAATTTCTATTTCTGTGTGCTGCTTCTATGGTGCTTCTTTTGTGTGATATATTCAGAATATGGGTAGGAGCTGTGAGCTATTTTTGGTATGTGATACTACACAGGAAAGCAATGGATCACGTTTATGAACAGAGGAGGATTCTGCAGAAGATATCTCATTAGGTACTATTAAAAGTATGTAACTCACAAATAATGTGAAATGAAGCAGCCTTCCAAGACAGAAAGACACAAAACCTGTTTATGTTGTAAGCAAACAGAAATAGAAAGCAATGCTGCATTTTTCTAATTGAGGGGTGTAGTCCACCTTCTAAATTGCTTATTTTGACACAAAGTCACCACAAAGGCACAAATCTAATGTTTTACTTTTGTTTCCCAGTTAAATTTCTTTCTGTTTCTTTTCTTCAACTAGAGGAAAAACCAGGGTTTATGCGTCATTTCTTTTATGTGCTTTTACCTGAAAAGCACTTACTGAGCAGTGCCAGAAAGGTATGATGTGTGATCCTTGAGTGTTTCAGTATCTGGGACCTGTTGCATCCAGTGGGTGGTAGAAATCTAGGCTGATGAGTTTCCCTGGCATGGCTTTCACATCATGCACAAATCCATGCTTAAAATATGCTCTGTGGGCCACAGCAAGGCACCCCTGCTGCCATTTCCCTTGCTGAAGGTGCCACTTGCTCATCAGGTCATTTTTAGCTTTGGCTGGAAAACTGCTGGGCTTACTGAAAGGCTCGGGGAGTTCCCTGGGTGGTTTCCATCGGAGAAGCCTACATCCTGTTATTGGGGAGCTTTTCGACTTCCCTTTGCAAAGTGAAAGAGGCTGGGAATGCAATGTTTGTCTGTTCTGATCTCTTTCTGGCTCACGTCTATCTATGAACAGCAAATGCCTAAATAAAAAGGAAAAGCTATCTAGTAGGGTGCTGATTTAAAAACCAACACAGATGGGACAGCACTAAGAAGTCTGTATGTAGACGTAAGTATATGCATGCGTATAAATGTATTAAACACTGCGTGTGATGGATCCTAAAATAATAATCCTTCAGGCCAAAACCATTTACATTCCTGACTGAAGATTCCTTGCATATGCCTATCTTTACGTATTTCTACACGACACACGCGAGTGTATCTGTCTGTATAATCACACTGCTGTGGTGGGGTCGGACCTTTGCTGCTTTGAAGCCGAGGTCTCCGGGCAGTGGCGCGGCCGCCGGAGGGAAGCGCGGCTCCGCGCCGGGGCAGCGGCATTGCGGGGCTCACAGCACGGCCTTTGTGCTGCTAATACGCGTTTGTTTAATGTTTCGTTGCCAGGTCTGGCCTGTGTCTGCGATAAGTCCGCAGAGGCAGGAGCCGGTTGTGCTTGGAGCTTTCCCTTTCACCCAGTTGGACAGCGGAGGGCACGGATGGGGTTTCTGGCGAGGAGCTGCTGCCCTCGCACCAACTCCTGACTGCGCAGTAGGAGCGCAAGGGGGTCCCCAAACCCCCTCCTGTCCCCTCCACGTTTGGTTCTAGAGACCTACAAGTGCTCCAGGGGTGTTCGCAGGGAAACCTGCTAAGAACATGACATCTGGTCAGGCGAAAGTTTAACCCATGCACATCCCCATCGTTTCCGTAATGCCAAGACAGGTATATGCACACTTGGTTTCACAAAGAGCCTGTTCAATGATACTTCTTTAAATCGTAAAGAAACTGCAATTTTGTTTTTTTTATGGAAAGGAGAAAGCTTAAACTATGCATGCATTATCTGGATATATTTAGTATATAGCATTCCCTCATGCAGTTATGATATTTGTTCAGAAACAGTGGATAAAGTAAGCTTGGATTCTGGATAGAGCTGAGACACCTGGTTTGCATCCACTGTTATTTTCATGTCCCGTACATTTATTAGAGAGATGTGACAGCTTAAAAGAGTAAACCCATGAGGATGAAGTCCTTTGCTTCCCTTGGGGCCAAGAGAAGGGTTCTGAGCACAGAGATAGAGTAGTAAAAGAAATAATACCTTTCCCATTTCTTTTCAGGGTAAATACTACCATCTTCCCCTTTTTGTGGGATATTTTGTTATGGCTGAGTATAGTGCCAAGTCCCTGGCATATGGTTCAAAAACGCTGAAAGTCTTGTCATCTTCCCAATTCCTCACAGCTCGCTTTACTGTACTTTTTTGGTATACTGTTCCCTATAGTTCCCCAAAGCTCTAAAAATGCCTTGAAAACTGTAGGGAAATAGTCCAGCTTACAGACCAGTGGAGTCAGTTAGGAATGATTTAAGTTACTCTGAGTAAATCTTCCATCCTGCTTTAAAACTCATAATCTTTGTCTTATGTTTTTCAAGCATTTGTGAGATGGAGAAGCATGCTGATAGCTTTAATGTATTTAACTGCCTCTGCACTCTCAAAATCTCAGCTGAGCAGCAAAGCCAATGGCCAGGCTCCAAGAACACCCTCCCTGCCCTCAGATCATACTGGAGATTTGTTTGTTTGTAAAAATCAATTGGAAGGCTTCTTCATCTGAGCTCTGGCTGAGTTTGACCTATGTGATGGGTGAGGTGTCTGACCATGAAGCTTTCAAAGGGTCTGGTATAACTGTGGGAGCTCACAGTGTACAGTGGTACTGGGTTGGAGGCTCCCATCAGGAGCTGGCTGACAGGTAGGAGCCTCTCTGCTGGGGTAAGGGACCAATAAACAGGGACTCCCATTCTCTCTGGTTTGTGCAGTTCTAATCAGAGTTATATTCAGAGAACAAAAGGTACTGGAGAAATCTGCAAGATTATTTAGGAGCTTCTTAGAAACCAGATGATATAAGAAAATCAGCTGGAAATTCCATTTCTTAACAAAAGAAGAAAGAAAAGAAAAGAAAAGAAAAGAAAAGAAAAGAAAAGAAAAGAAAAGAAAAGAAAAGAAAAGAAAAGAAAAGAAAAGAAAGAAAAGAAAAGAAAAGAAAAGAAAAGAAAAGAAAAAGAAAAGAAAGAAAAGAAAAGAAAAGAAAAGAAAAGAAAAGAAAAGAAAAGAAAAGAAAAGAAAAGAAAAGAAAAGAAAAGAAAAGAAAAGAAAAGAAAGCAGGGGATTGCAGGTCAAAAGTGCAGTGTCATAATAGGCAGCAGTGTGTCCAGGAAGGGGAAACTAAGGACAGTCTAGGAGCAGCTCTTATAAAAGCAGTAGGATAGGGAACCCCCTGAGCTCCAATTTATATAAGGAAGTTCCAGAAGGCAGGAAGCAAACACTGTGGTTCAGCCACAGTGAGAAACAGGGCTTTTGGGGCTTTCTGTGGTCACCTAGGGTGACTTGACATTTTAAGTACTAATGGGGATTGAGGTGAATCACCCCAGGTAGAAGGAGAATGAAAACTCCACAGTCATGCAGACAACATCCTGGCCTCATGAATCCAGCTGGAAATATGCTACTTCTTGCACTTCCAGATATCATAATTTTCTCTTTCCTGACAGTGCTTCAGAGTCATCATCAGGTGTCATGGTGGCTTTAAGCTTACACCAACCACACTACATTCTGAGTAACCAGGATATAGTAGAAAAGTTCCAACCCCTGGCTTTGAACAGATGTTTTGTAGCCTGTGCTGTGCACATCCCACTCCATCCTACTCATATCCACGCTAAACAACATGGACCATTTCCCTTTTTTCACTTATTTATCTTTCTGTCTTTTTATTGGGTGATTTCTCTGCTGCTTGGTTACATATTTGTGATGGACTGTGAATAATTGTCATGGTTGGTTTCTTGCTTGTTTGTCATAATTTATCTCCTTCATTGAAAAAAAAATTAAAATGAATATAAGGAAGAACTGAGGTGACTGCAGAGTAGGTTTTTCATGTCCTCATTTTCATTTGCTGTTTGACTTTGGTCTGCCATGAAGGACCAGTTGCCAGTGATTGTATCTGCACACACACACACAGATACAATGAACTCTTTCATAGTCAGGCTTTACAAGTAAATGGAGGGTTCTTGTGTTCATACAGTTCGTTTGGATTCGTTCATACATGCTTTTGAATGCTGACTGTAAGCTGCTTCATGACCTCAGGTGTCACACAACATCCCTCTTACATCCAATAGTTAAGGACCAAGCTGCTGAAGCATCTCTGTGTGAAGTGGATTTCAGTCTTTGCAAAAGAGTCTTTTGCTGAAAAATTCCATAGAAGTATGCTCCAGTAAATATTACCTTTAGTTCAGATAAAAGTATGAAAGGCTTCATTTAATAGTATTGCAGAAGTCATGTAGTCCTGAAAAATGTAGGAGTCCTAGAACTTGTTTAGAGCAGTTTTTTTAACAGGTTGAAAATTTAAAAGTACAAAAAAATTATTGCACATATATACTCCTGTATATATATATTTTGTAGTGCAAGAGTTCAAGAAAGATCAAATTCAACACAAAGTTCATTATTTAGATATAAATGTCGATTTAAAAGTGATGTCAATTTAAAAGTGATATTATAGCCAAATCATACCACTGTGGAAAGACAGGGATTCTCTTGCTTACCATGTTTCTCCAAATTACCTTCAGTGAGTTGCATCATGTATAAGCAACGCCCAACTTAATAATTTTCAAGGCAGAGTGCAAAATACAAAGTTTATAGCTGATAATCACAAAGGTTTGGCCTGGGGAGTGAGAAATTACCTAGCTGTAGGGTTAACTGAGGACATAATTGCCAGGCACACTATCATACCAGTAAAATGCGTGTATGAAATAGAATGATTTCAATTTGCATATTTGGCGCTGTTTATTTTCTCGTTCCCTAAAGCATCGAGGATAGACATTTCATACCAACCAAATGTCATAAAACTGGCTCCTGCCTTGCACTGGCATGCTGTAAAACATGTATTTTAAACCCTACCAGCAGCCTCCCTTCTGCTCTGTGAGTACAATGCCAGCTGCCACCGGCCAGCCTGATCTTGCCCACTCACAGAACAGTTGCTGAGTAGGAGGAAGGCCAGCAGCTGGGATAAACGTGTGCCCAGCCCAGAGCCAAGATAACATTGCTGCAAATTTATTTAAGTGTAATGGCTGATATGACTAAAGCTATCTGGAGAGCAACTATCAGTCAGCATCAGGCAGCAACTTATATCCATGTTGGAGATACATACAGGGTGTGTATATTTAATGTGAATCTGAGGGCTGTGATCTCATACCCCCTCCCTGGCCACTTGGGAACAGGAGATCACTGATAGTTAAAGTCAAATTAATGAGTGTGAGGTGATAAGAAAACGTGGAGGAAACCTATATTCATTACATGAAAAAATATGATAGAAACAAAGTTCATCTGACACCAGTTGCTCAAAGAGTTAGCTGTTTAAATCTAAGGTGCCAAAATTCACGTTTATTTCATTCTAGAGTACACTCATGTGCATCTGGATACAGTTATCTACATATAGATCCTGTGTAATTTTAATTGCTTGTGAGACATACCACCTGCTGTTCAAGAAACGTGAAATATTTTGCAAATTCAGTGTCATGTGCAAGCCCTGTGCTACCTCCAAATGGCTTGAAGCACCTAAGTTGTCTAAAGTAGCACAAGAACCTACAATTATTCCTTGAATACTTTATATCATTTAAACACCAAGACCTCATTGTCTTAATCCAAAGCTAAATCCTACTCCCAAAAATTCAGTGAAATCCATTCCAAAAAAAACAGACTTCAAAGCTTCCGCTCTGCAAGTATCCACCACTATGGATATAGCTATCAGTATCATACTGGGTTAGTAGTGATGAAGACTTTGGATAGGCTTGAACTAAGATGGAGGACAGCTGATCTCATTATTCTTTGAAAATATGAAGGAGTTAGATTTTTGCTTCCTTGAATGGCTGAGGAAAAAAAAAGAGCCTCACAACTCTTCAAATTTGGAAAATAAAAAATATTGCTTTATTTATAATGATGAATGGAACGACGTAGTATTCTCACACCTAATAAGATGTCATCAGTTACTGAATCCAATCTGGAACCTGGAGATGTTACTGGAGTCCTCTCTGGAACCT